ATGTTGGGATGCTCGTGTGTGGCCGTGTTTTTCTTTATGGATAGAGGGCAGTCGGTCATGCGGTATTCCGCTGCTCTTGCGTTGTCCGTTGTTTGACCACTGCTCGTTGTTGACTCCTTGGAATCGTGGTGGACTTTCGGATTATGGCTAGCCCGTGGGCCTCATCCAGTCAGTGAATGTTTAATCATGAAGTTAGAAATTCATGGTTATTTGGAGACGTGACTGCCAGCCAAGCTAAGACTTTTTCCCTGTTGGAGGAATGGCCTTGTAGAAAGTAAAAATTGCGACAGAGGGCGCTAGCCATCACAAATGTACAATGTCTTATGTGAGAAGCCACGTCTTGGTGTTATGTAGCACCACAGTCATTGCAAATTATTATCAAGAATGACTTATTTAAAGCCAAATCTGTTGAATAGAGCTACCTGTTGAGGAAAGGGAAATCCTGAGGAAATTCTTTAAATCATGGAGCTATAAACAGCGGGAGAGGTGCTTACGGAGCGGGACGAAAACTCCGCCTGCGTCCCTGGGCATCCCCTGGCTGATGACTGCCTGACCGTCCGGCGATGATGGTTTGACGAGCTGACGGTTTGAAATGAAAAGCTCTCGAAATGAATTGAACGGGATGGAGAAAAAAGGTTGTCGACGAAAAGTAATTCCGTCTGGTCGACGACACGTTTCATTGCCAAGCCTGAAGGTGTTCGCTGAGTGAACTTAATGCATACATATTTGGTTTTTAGGATGGTTGGGGAGGGGGGGGGGTAAAAGGCGAGGCACTCGTAAGATAGGGGTGATGGTCAGTGACTAAATTAGGGTTAAACTTCGATGAGACACTTGGGTGCGTATATTTTTCAGGTGGGGGGTGCAATTCAGAATTTTAAACGGGGAGGGAGAGGAAAACGGGGGGGGGGGGCACGGACATCCGCTTGGGGCACCCCCGCATAGTTAGGCCACAGGAGACGGTTGCACATGATACGCTCTGTTGATGATAGGGATTGATATAACAAAGAAAAGAAGCGCTAACCAGCCTAGAATGACACCTGATGTGTATCGACTAAACATTACTTTTTCCGCTCAGCAGTTCATAGATCGCTGATGGGTGATGGCATTTCATTGCCCTGGTTCCCCAGGCCGACGATTGCTATAATAACATGTTGCAGTTGACAGTGACTTGTAACACCGGTGGCCCGTATTATTTAGACTGGTCATCGGAGACCAGTTGGATCGTTTGTCCTCCTCATAACAAGTCGCTAGGGATCTCAGGGAGGTGTTTGCCCCACGTTCCCTCGCTCCGTGTGTCGCTGACCGTGCATAGCCGGCCACTTCTAGCCCGCATAAATCCAGGCCTGCGCACCCAGAGTGTTTCCAACACTCTTTGTTTTTATTGGCGTGACCTGGTCGTTACATGTCAAATTTGACAGCATTGGAAGTGTTGTTTGTATCCTTTTGGCGCTACGGGAAGGTCGGTCAGAAATTCTGAATAATAGCCTCGTAAAAATTCAGTCGTGAGGAAAGACAAGTATGTCGAATCTCCTCAGGAAATTATTTTTGACCTGGAAGAAGAATTAACCTCGCCATGCATAATCATGGTATGGCCACCGTTTCAACACTTGCTACAATTAGCATAATGTTGCACCTTACGGCGGTTTTAAATCTACACCATTGTTTTGGTATCTACCACAGTATGCAATACGTAGAAAGTTGCACCGCAGTTACATTGTTTACCTGGTCATTATTGAAATTTATCCTTGAAGTCTGCCCCAAGATGCTGAAATTACTGTCTCCTTAGGGTGCATTGGTCAAACTCACTTGGGCCAGACGAAGATACACATGCCATTGAAACTTCATAGGACTCTCATCCTAAAAATCCTTCCCTTTTTGTTTTTAATGCAAAGAAAACTGATTTACACCATTCGTTTCCCGTCATTTTAAATAATCTTCCACCTCATCACAACGGTCTTGTTCAATCTAAAACTAATGGTGTGATGATTAAATACCATTTGTAAGCCTAAGCATTTTATTTTTCCCACCAGGCCCTTTCTATCAGAATGCAATGAAATTCTCTCACAATTCCCGAACAGTTAAGACATTTATTTTGACAACAATATAAAACTTGTTTTGTCAATTCCTCCGACCGGGCCTTCTTGCGAACACCAAGTACCCTAAAGTGTAAAAATTTTAAACACACTCTCAATAAAAGTTTAGGGACTTTATAATGTTATCGCGGCGGACATGTCAGATTGCAAGCGACCTCGTCAAAATACCGATGCTGCGCGGAGAGTTAACAACCAGGTCATTACCAGTGTGCAGCGCGTCAGGTCACTCTCTGCCCCAACGATACTGTGAACTGTATATGTTTTTCAGGTCATCGATAAATAAGCTATATATGTCAAACCTTGTTGTGAAGCCCCAGTACTTAATCCAGAAGACTTACAAATTCAAGGTTTTTTCTTTCGCTGGAAAGCAACACTGTTTTCAGGGGCCGACTTCAATGAAACCTTTGAACTAAACGGCCTTGTTAAGTACGAGTTGTGTGGCAGTGTCTGAATTTAGAGGGAAATGTGAAAAAATCGCTTCTTTGTCTTGATAAACAGGCATTCCTCAGAAAGTTTAGTACTGTAACTTACAGGTCTGTAGAAGCGTGTGGTTTAGGGAAATGTCAAACTCCAGCACTCTTACCGCCTTTAGTTACCTCCAAATCAAGCGCTGATACTTGCGAATAGTTCATTATCTGTTTGTCCTTTTCAAAAGCACCGAGTACAAGTGGCTGCTTGCCAGCACTCTTCAAACTTTGCGAGCTATTGTGAGGCTCCAAAGGTGAGTTAAGCACCTACACGCGCGCAGACACCTTGGCCGAAACGAGGCGGGGTCAAGGCCCAGCAAGCCGAAAATAATCCTTGGTTTTACCATGGTTTTATAAGCTTTAGCTTTTTCGCCATTAGCGATGTGATTTGAATGTAAACGAATTGAATTGAATGTGACCTGAAATTGATAGTGACGTTATTTTAAGAGCTCTGGGTGTTACCGGTGTCATGTTTTTTGATAGTTTTAGTAAACGTAAATCACCTTGGCCCTAATTTTGAAATCTCGCGGTATTATCAGCAAATCCCACACATCATTATCTGCAATAACTAAAAAATTGCTAAGGGCCGATCATGGAAAACAAATAGCTTAGATCAAAAAAGATTAACTGGACATCATCCAATTTGACAGTGCAGCGCGCAGACCCAACACCAGATGAAGCTCAAATTCCAGTTTGTAATAGACCAGCGCGAATGTGAAGATACTTTGAGGCGGAGTTTCTTTCAAACCCAGTGCCACACCCCAAGGAGTTGTTGACTACATCCCAACCTCCATAATTTGCTTCTTTGCAAAGACCAGACGATTGTGGTTGACCCTGTGGGATGCATTACAAAACTTTCCTGCGTCGCATAGAGGGCGGCCGGGGGTCATGCTGCAGGTGCGACAGACATGAACGGGGGTCCTTTGAGTCATAGTCGGGGTTACAGGTACAACTTTGATGTTGATTTGTCTCAGCATCTCAAGGTCCCTTTTCAGCACTTATTTTATGAGGTTCTAGGGGGAGATTGCCTTTCTAGTTCACCGCGAAATGTGTCACAAGATGTATTGCAGACGTGTTGCACTTTGTTTTATTGCTTTAGGAAACGTTTCGTTACTTCTCACAGTTTCTTTAAATCGATCAGGAAACCTGACAGCAAATCATTTGTACATTCTCCTGAGTATAATTACATGCAATAAAGTGCCTATGGGTCTACTTACATTTTCTGAACACAAGTTTTTTTTTATAGGGAAGTTATCCCAGGCCTACCTTGAATCAAATGCACCCGGTAGTTTATAAACCATTACAAAGATGTGGATATTCTTAGTGGCCTACTCATAAATTAAGGCCTTATCGTGGTGCAAAATGAAATTACTCCAGAATGCTGTCTTCTGTCATAATCAGGGCGTAAATCGGGGGGGGGGGGGGGGGGGGGGGAAGGAGGAACATATCCCTCCTCTTTGGGGATTCGTTCTGTCAGTACATGGCTGAGGAAGCCAATGAGTAAACTTCTCCCACCAATGTTTTCAATGAGCAGATTTGTTGGTTCACATTTTAACAGAAACCTCTCAAACTGAACAGTGTCTTCCTGAATGATTTAACAGCATCAGCGCCCTCAGTTGTCCGGAAAAGCATGGAAATTTTTTCAATATTGAAAGAAGTGCACTTTTGAATAATATTAAACCAAAAGGGATGTCAAATAGTTGTCATACATGTAAAGGGAGTATAAAGTTGAACAAAAAATGTTCCTAAGAAGTTCATTTCATGGCACACTTTAATGCTGAGTGTTGCTAGCAGGGTGTGCAAACAAAAAGCAAAACTTTTTTTCCCATTTGAACACTCCTTTTTCCTAATCGTTAACATGGAGTCTGCTTTGTTTTGTTATTTATTCACAGGGACCTCAAGATGGAGAACATTATGCTGGATGAGAAGAGGAAAAACTTGAAGATTGTTGGTGTGTAAATGTGGAAGAAACCTTTGCCTTTTTATTTTCTTATCAAAATCATGGGTTGTTTGAATTCATGGTCAAAGAGTTAACCAAACCAGAACTTCTTTTTGCTTCTAGATTTTGGCTTGAGCAATATATTTTCTCCTGACTGTTTACTGAAGACCCCACTTGGATCACCGGAGTATGCCGCTCCAGAGCTCTTCATTACTGACCAGGAGTACGGTCCAGAGGTGGACATATGGAGTCTGTAAGTGTCATTTGCTGTTATCTTATTCCAACTTTGGAGCGTCATTTTGTGTGGTAGTTTTTTTCTGCTATTTGCCAATACTGGGATGTTTAATATGCTCATTATAAGGCACCATGAAATAAATTAATTCATCTGTGTCTCCAAGACTTCATTATTTTCTAACTTATCTTAAACATCAGAAAAAAGTCACATTGCACAATCCTTGACCATGAAACAATTCAAGTTGTTGAAATAATTAGTTTGAAGTTGTAAAAAGGATTTTCCTTGCAATGGTTTGAAAACAAAAAGTGACAACATTTGTTTAAAAGAAAAGCACAAATGTAACGTCCTGCAAGGGCCACCATAATAGTTGCTTTGGGTTTTTTTTGTATCTATCTTTGCAGAGGCATCAATATGTTTGCCATGGTAACAGGGAGGCTGCCTTCTCCACACCATACTCGGAGAACAGGCGACAGCGACTGATGCAGCAAATCCAGAACGGACTGGGTGTCATCCATGCAGGGAGATGGCTCATCTATCTGATGGTACATTTTGATTTGAAGATCAAACCATAGAAATAAAACATCTCACTGCCAAATCAAGGTTTCGTCTGGGGTGTGATAGGCGGGCCAACAACCGCAGAAATGCACTGTGATCCCCAAAAAGTTTTCAGTTGATAGATCGAGATCAAGTCTTTTGAAGGAATGTTCTTAAGTTGATCTAAGGATTATAATGATTGAATGCTTGCATTTATTTATTGTGATCAGAACGTCCTTATTTTTTGGAATTTCAGAATGCCAGGAGTTGTTGAGTCCAGCTGATTGAGCCGAGTCCAGGAGCTACGGCTTCCCTTTATTGGACATTGAGGTTCATTCATGGATAACCAGTCTGGGAGAGACACCCTTCTCTGCCCCTACCAGCAACCACCAAAAGATGCTGATGTCAAGAGATTGGTATGACAAGAAAAAACTTATGGTTTGGCAATCTTGCTTTTTCTTTTCCTTTGAAAGAAGAAAGTTTTTTTTTGTAATATTGTTCAGATGTAATGCTTGGACTCTCATCATTTTACAAGGGGAACTGATGGGGCCGATGGGGCCGATGTCCACGTCACCTGCAAAATTGCACACTGAGTGATAAGCTCCAATGTAAACAATTTTTGTTTTGCAAATATGAATCAAAGCATCAAGACGTTCGCATCTTAGACACCTAGTCTTTTCATTCTACCTTACTTCAAATCCCATTTTCAGTTGTTGCATGACTAATGCCCTAAATGCAACAATTGTTTGACTTTTTACCGTGCCGAAGATCATCGACAAGATGGCGTACCTGCTGAATGTCAGCGCAGCC